CCCCCAAACTATATAAACACAATGTTTTTTTTTTGATCTTTATAAAAAATATATTCTATCCACATACCAAAGTTAATATATATTATGTTTATACGATACATATATATTATAGTCACGATGTATCTATTGCTTACGTAATTTACTGATATATTATTATGTTTCTGAACCTCGGAGGTAGTACATATAGTTTGTATAGTACCTGTTGTTCGATAAAATAATATTTATTGATGCATTCATRCTTTTTGAAGAATTTTCCTCTCAATATGATACGATAATGCATTTGGATTTATATCAACATTGGTATTAAAACAAAGAATAATAGTGTTTGTCGATTTAAAAAATTAAAAATCAACGAGATATTTAAATATAGAATAAGAACAGTTTATACATTATTTTTTTATTTATTAAAAAGCGTTTTTTTTAATTTTTTAATTTTTAGATTTGTTTGTTTCTATATTTCTAGTTATTAGTTACTGTGAGATCGCATTCATTTTTTTCTTTATTTATATGCTTTGTCAAGTGAAACAATAGATCACGCAAGTGAAACTTTTACTGAGGGGTCATAACATTATCTCCCAGCAGGTCATCTATATTTCAAACATCCATTATTCAAAAAACACAACCACGTCTATGTATGAAAGTAACAGTAACAAGCCCATTTTCATTGTTACGCTCAGTAGCCTGTTAGCATATATTATTATATACGTAACAAAAAAAAAAAAAAAAAAATGGTCATTTCAATTATAAATATCATTTTTAATTTTTCGAAAGTCTAAATTAATTTAAGTAGTAACAATTAAATATTTTGAGTCTGTAGATACTTCTGTCAAACTTATTTATTAATACTTATATGAAAAAAATGTACATATATACATATTTGTAATGTAGTCAATTTTGTTATTAAGGGTAAGAGGTATAATAAGAGTTGCATGACCTGAGGACCAATCATTGGGACTTAAGGAGGGGTCGATCAACAATAGTTACAATAGTCTATAGCGTAATTTTCGCTTTTTGCTTGTCCGCCGGCGAGTCCACTCATTTGGAACTGCACAAACCACAGACACTACACAAAAATGATAGTTTTCTTCACTGATTGAATAAAGCACCTCTGTTAYATTTTTTATTTGCCTCGTGGATTGTAGACGAGAATACCATAGAAAAAAAATCCAACAGACGAATATATACAACCAGTTCTATCTCACTTGAAACGTGCCCTAGGTTTTCCAACAATTCGTGTGTTCAACCAATAACTGTTTTAGAGATCACTATTTTTTTTTGTAAATATGTTTCCAACATAATCATCATTATTTTTGTTCATTGGCTAATAATGTCATAATACATTAAATAACGACCATACGTAAGAATGYTTTTTTTTTTTACAAAGTRTAATTGAGTTTTTGATAATATTACATCTAAGCCTTTTTAATCATCACGCCACTATTAAAAATCGTATAAAGAGATTGATCCAGAGTAGATTTACAGAGTGKATTTATAATATATCAGTATTATAAAGTAGAACTTAGAACCTATATGTATTTTAATTTTTTTAGATTGTAGGTTGGAATAATTATTATTCAGTCGTATTTTAATCTAGACTAATTTCATCACGAATCGGCAATATTAGGTACCTATATAGGTAGTAAAAAGATCAATTTTATTTTTGGTGAATTCGTCCTCAATAGTTGTTACTGATAAATTTTCAATAGTAAACTGCAAAAAATACTAGATATTTAAATTTATAGATAAAAATGAATATATCTACTCGTATTTATTATAAAATATACAAAACAACAAAAGGTACAAAATCGTAAATTACAGGGAAACATTCTTAAAAACATGAAAATAGCAAAATGTAAATATTTATAGTTATTGATGAATTTATCATAAATATTATATCGAATAAAGATATAAAGATAGTTCGTACCTACCTATTTTTTTTTTTAAAGTCTTCTAATTACTACTACTATTTAGTAAGGAGACATTTTTGTGTTTGGTAAATTTCTATATAAAAGCTAATAATTAAAAATTCGTATAAATTATTAATGARATGAAAATGAAAAATTAAATAATTTGAACTTCGTTTTTTAATACTTATACATATAATTTATAAAATTAAGACTAATACAATTTTTATAATTCAAGAATTGGGTCTGAATTTATACTATTCGTGATTTATTATTTACATATTTTGTTATTTATTTTACTTTTTTTACTAATAAAAGACAAACGATATTGTTACTTAATTCGAGCATTTTTGTGTTATTTTAAAGTATGTAGAGTTCTAATAAAWTTTTCTAATCTTTTTTTATTCAAGCATTGATTGAGAATGTTATAATTCTGTAGATGATGGATGAATGGATTTTGTTGGCGAATTAATATTTACGTAATACATATTATTATATATACACATAGCTATTACTTAGTACACACACACGTTTTAATTTTAAAATCGTTCAAAGGTTGAATCACTATTTAAAGTTATGCTATGTTAAATGATTYATTTCCAAGCAGGATTATGGGTACCTATACCTAATTAACTGTAAGGTCGTAAGAAGAAAATTATTTTTTAAGTATCTCTGTAAGATGTATTGTTGCCCATAGCCAATTATGTGATGATTAACAGTCAGAATTCCGTCTTAATGTCTGTGCTGGCGCGGTCAGAAATTCCATTATTAGGAAGTATGATAGTATTTTGTCTGTTGACACAACTAATAATATAGGGTTTGTGTTGTTGCTAACCGTCGAGGAGGTTGAATCACACGGACCATGACCACTCCCTCCGCTTTCACTGGCTACGTTCCATCCGGCCGGAAGACCTACATATAGGAAAGTTTCCAGGCTATAACGCCATGTATAAAACGCATATATTATTATATAAATATATGCACGATATTAACTATGTTATTGACACACACATACGTGCACGAACATGACGAAGTGTGTACTGAAAATTTCCTAAGTCGATTTTGAGTCATGGATATGATAGATAGGTACTTACACTTGATGTGTTTACTGATCTTTTCTCTTTTATACTTCTGTGACACAATGCTGTGGTACATTATATCTTATATTATATTATGACTAAAAATAATGAGCTCGTGTGATCCGGTAAATTATTACTATATTATGTCTATTATATTAATACAAAAACGTTTAAGAGTTTAAATTTCTACACAGCCACCGTGCGTAGATAGGTATGTAGTATGTATATTATATTATAATATGTATATGCGATATATCTATGTACCCGATTTAGTGTTATTGTGTTAGTGCACGTATAATAATTGCTCGACCGAAGCGAAACAAATTTAATTCTCCTCGGAGGATCATGCGCGACTTCTTCCGTAAAACTTTAATCGATGTACAGTACCTATAAGTATACSTGCATCCATACATAAATGACCGATGCAACGGACACGAATACAGTTTTCAGTCCAAATACTAAACAATTTATCGCCATGTGCCCACATATTATGTGTARCATACAAATATTAATATTATATATTATTATAAATAATATGCATAAGTACTTGTAATTTAATTCTATGAAATATATATGGCTTTAAGTGGAAAATAAATTGTACCCAAATATGTCATTGTAACACAATCAAATATGTACAAAAAAATTAAAAATTAAAAACCCATACCTAATTAAAACAACGGATAGAATTTCTTTTCCATCTTTCTTTCCGTTTAAACATTTTTTTTATTGTTACTATTATAGTTGAGGTAAGAACGACAACGTTTACGCTGATCCATGTTCTATGACCCACAAACTCAATCGTTCGATACGACCGTGATGCTATTGGATCTTATGATTTTACATGGCAAATTCGTTTTGGTTTTCTCGTACAAACTAAAAAGTGAAGTAATACAACTATTTAGAGCTTGAGTAGACTATACCTGATAATCATTGATTGACTTACGAAATTATTATCATAAAATACATAGTAGGTATGTATTGGGTATCTCTATAATACCTATAATCATAAGCGCAACTAGGGGGAGGGAAGCTGGGGGGCTTAGCCCCCCAAAAAAATTAATCAATTGATTCTTAAAATATTAATAAACTTTTAAAAATTCAGCTGTATTTATTTATTTTTTTWTTTTTGGAAAGTTTTTAAAGTTTAAAATTATTTTATATTGCCTACCTTTCTATAAATAGTGGCTAATATACCAGAGTCCTATACTCGACATATTTCATCTTTTCTATGATACAAGTTTTTATCGTTCGTATTATGTACGCACTGGTTAATTGGCGATTATCACTGAAAATCTATTACGACTTACGGGTACACTGTATTTAGCGAATAAATACGTACTTAAGATCTACAATGTAATTTATCGATATTAAATATTGAAAAAGATATAGAAATTGATCCCGAGGTCATTTTGGAACAATTCAAAGCCATCAACAAAAGAAAAATGAATCTTATATAATATGTCAAATGTCAATAATTATTTCACGATGCATATAAAATATATAATTAAAAGTAAATGTTGGTATTAATGGTGTTTAAATTTTAAGATGGCGTTGGGGTGGTGTGGGCATAGCCTCTCACGGGTTACTTTTGGTATAATATTGAGGTGGGGGTATAGCCCCCCTAAGATTTTGTGCTAGTTGCGCCACTGCCTATAATATACTATATATTATAAATACCTAAAATATGAATAGGTTAGTTTTAATTTATTAAAATATTGTAATATAGCAATATAATATCAAACGGTTAAAATTCATGAGAAAGAAAGTAGGATATTTGCAGATTATAAATTATGGTAAAAATTTTGGATTAAAAACGTAATTCTTTAAATGATCCAGAATTTTTTCTGCTACAGTACTTTCGTTTTAAATATATGTATAATATACTGTAACTTATAAATTATATTATCTTATAATTACACCAGTTTTACGAGATTTCACTGTAGATGACATACCCACATGTAAATATATAGTATTATATCGATAAATTTATAATGTTTTGTCGTATTTTTTTGTGTAGTGTTAAATGTTGCTGCGGGCAAAGCACCTATGCAAATTAGCTCAGAACCCGGCGGCCTACCTCAAAAAGCCATCGATGGTAGCACCAGTTCATTTTTCAGCCCCGAAACATGCACACTTACTAAACCGGAACGTACCCCATGGTGGTATGTTAATCTGTTGGAACCATATATGGTGCAATTGGTGAGACTGGATTTTGGTAAAGCCTGTTGCGGTGAGTATTTTAATTTAAAAGGTACCATAGTACTATAGTATAATATAATATAATACTATACCATATACCATAGTACCATAGTCAATGAAAATAAAAAAAACTTATAAATAATTATACAAAAAGTTTTAAATAAGATAAGAAAATATTTATAGTAATAATAAGTATTATAATTTTATAATACAAATCAAATCATAATATTATAAAAATAAAATAGATTTATTAATTAAAGCCAGCATACACCAGTATATCGCTTGACCATAGCAATGTAAATTGAGTGTCTTAATTATGTCTTTTGTTAAGTAACTTAGGTATACATGGTTATTATTTATTATGTTATCTACGACATAATKTTGTTTACCTATTTATTTATATTTCCTTAGAGGTGAGGCATACAAAAAATATGCTTTAAAAATAATATGATGTTGGAATACTGATTTCAAAAAAAAAACGCATCATAACTTAAGATGGTAAATTTTGAACTTCGCAAACAAACTAAAATTGAGCATTTGTTAATTTATTTTCAATTCATTATAAAATGGTTAATACCTATATTGGAATGATTATWCTAAGAACCYGAATATCGAAAAAAAATAGTGTAAAACTGTCAAACTAATAAAATGGAATGTAATTTAATAATGGAGAACGGGAATCATTGAAAATTAGTATTAAATAGGTAGTTTAGTAGTTATATTAGTAGATAAATTAAAATATTTAATATGAATTCAATTTAACTTATATCGGGTCAATAAATATATCATTTATACGATTATTTGAATAATCAATTGACATATTTATWTTACAAGATCATTAGTTAGAAACTTAGAACCATTGCAAAAATTATTGTTTACTATTGTACCTATTTATATTCAACACTTAAACATATCAAGAATTTTCTGATCTCATTTTCCTAAAAATTATCATTATAGATTTAATTCAGAATATMATTTTAGCCAATTTTAGGTCATCTGCAAAAAAATATAAATAATTGGAAATATTGCATAATTTACACTTTTAAAAGTAAAAAAATSTAGATAAATGACTGTTGGTGCAATAAAACATCTACCTACATATCTACCTATTTAACCAGGTACCTCGTAAAAAATAATGTAGGTAGTAACGCTGCTTAACCCATATTTAAAATTTATTTTAATTTCTCTGAATTTAATAGTTTATRCAGAGTTGTAGAACTGTGTTAAATATATGACTCAACGTTATATGACAATACTTTTAAAATAATGTGTATCATCAGAAAATTGTATRATTTRAAATATATATAGTTTTAAAAAATATATCTAATGAAATCAGTATTGAATTATTATTTAAAATGCAAAAGTTAAATGCCTTGAAGTTGTTAATATTAAATGTCTTAAACTTTGATAAACATCAACAAAATGGTGCATAAAAGAAAATATTACAAACAATAAATTATATTTGGTTTTTTATGGAAAAATTAAACAAGTACCTACACGATTGTTTTCGCTTCAGGAAGAATTTTATGACTATAAAAAAAGTTTCATAATCTAAACATAAATATTGTATTATTTTTGAGTTGTTTTTATTCATAGAGGTATTTTCGGTAAATTAGTTACAATGAATAAAACCAATTCATATTATCATTCAATATTCTATTAGCACGTGCGAAAAACGTGCAAAAAAACCGGTCAAAGAAAGTGGTACCCACTATAATACTAGTATTAGTATATTAGTATATCATATTATATTATAGTCATTGTCTAACTACCTACATTGTCGCTTCTGTATAATAAAACAATGTAAATACATTTGATTTTCGGAAAATAACTTTTCACATGGTCTGAAGATTTCCCAAGAAATAGGGCTTGTCGCAATGACATGATAAACACTACTTATGATTTTTTACATTAAATGATATAAATAAAATGTAAGTGTTGCCTGTTAACTTATATTAGCATTGCTTACAGGTAAAAACAAACCGGCTACGATAGTCGTGCGAGTAGGAAACAATAGGCCCGACCTAGGCACGAATCCTATATGCAACCGATTCACTGGCTTTATTGATGAAGGAAAACCGTTGTTCCTTCCATGCAATCCACCCATGCCAGGCGCATTCGTTAGTGTCCATATGGAAACTGCTAGTGGATCCACTCAGTTATCAATATGTGAAGCTTTCGTCTATACTGATCAAGTAAGTTTATACAATTTAAGTTATTGTAACGTAAAAATAAAATATTTTATAATTAATATATGAGTTTAATTTAATTCATTCAAGATACATTTAAAAATGAATTGTAATTTGAAAAAAAAATTAAATTAATACTTCATCTAAACAAAGTGCATACAGTAACTAAT